GCGAGGGTTGGAGGGCCCACCTTGCCGCGCTGCCACGGCGCGCCCAGTCGGTCCTGGGAGATCGCGAGAACGTCTTCCTGCTGCAGGCACGGCGCGACCATCTCTCTCTCTCTCTCTCTCTCTCTCTCTCTCTCTCTCTCTCTCTCTCTCTCTCTCTCTCTCTCTCTCTCTCTCTCTCTCTCTCTCTCTCTCTCTCTCTCTCTCTCTCTCTCTATATATATATATATATTTTTTTTTTTTTTTTTTTTTTTTTTTTTTTTTTTTTTTTTTTTTTTTTTTTTTTTTCTCTCTCTCTCTCTCTCTCTCTCTCTCTCTCTCCCTCTTTTTTTTCCCTCTCTCTCTCTCTCTCTCTCGTTCTCCGCGCGCGCCTGGCGCGCGCGGCGTCGCGCTGCTGCAAAGGGGACGATGGAAGCGGCGGGCTGCTCGGTCGAGAGCCTGGCGACGGATCTAACGCAGGGGTTCCGCCTGGCTGGGCCAATGCTCCTCGCGGGCATCGCGCCCCCAGGGTGGCTCCCCGCGGAATGTGGCGAGGCCGATCTGCAGGGGTGGGCTCGCCGGGGCAACCCTGACGTGCTCCGCCGCGCGCGCCGGCCGGCGGAACTGGACCCGGGAGTTCGGGGGGCCTTCGAACAGAGGGCCGAAGAGGAAGTCCGCGCGGGCGACGCGGCATCCGCGCGGCGGTCCTTCCTTGCGCGCCCCGCCATCGTGTGTCGGAGGCCGCGCCGCTTGGGCTGATATTGATGCGGCCATGCGTGGCGGCGTCACCGCTCCGCGATTCGCTGTGCATGAAGGCTTCAAATCTTGAGCGACGGGTCATGGAAGCGCAAGGTTCGTGCGATTGACGACTTTACGGCCAGCTGGGTCATCTGTGCTTCCGCGCCGCTCGTGGCCATGACCGCGGGCGCGGTGGGCGCGCTGGCACCGATGGCGCGGCTTGTCGCAGCAGACAGCGCCAGGCCGCTGCTGCGGCTGAACAAATCGGATTTCGTCGGCGCATACAGGGCGCTGCCGCATCACTCCGATGCGCTGAATACGGGGCGCGGAAACGACCGCAGCCATTGCTTTTCTTCTGTCGCCGCCTTCCAGCCAGCAGAAACAAAGCAGTGGTTGTGGTCATTTTCGTTAAGCTTAGCACCAGGGGAATGACCGCAACCGCTGCTTCTTTTTCGGCCGGCTGGAAGGCGGCGCAAGCAAGAAGCAGTGGCTGTGGTCATTTTCCCGCCCCGCACTGAAGTGCACGAGTGCTGTGTGGGGCGACGGGGCTGGTGCCCTCGCGTGCTTGCAAGTGTTCGCGTGCCCTTTCGGCGCAAAGGCGTTTGGCTTCCAGTGGGGGCGCCTCGGGCACGCCATCCGTCGCGTCCTGGCGTTTTTTTTTCGCGTGGGCAGGGGCAGGTGCGTGGGCGATGCCTTCTCCGTTAACCGCGAGCGCCCACCGTGGGCCGGTCAGTGCGCGGAGCCCGCCGGTGAGGCCGACGTCGACCGCCAGGTAATCGAGGATTTGCTGGGGCCCTGGACCACGACAAAGAGTGCGCTGGTGCGGAAGAGACCAAGGTCCTCGGGGTGCGCGCCCAGTGCTGCGACGAGAGTCAGTCTCTGCGCTTGTCGGTTCCCGAGGCGAGCGCGGGCAAGTGGGTGGCCCAGATCAAAGGCATACTGCGGCGGGGATGCCTGTCCCCAGCGGGGGCCCAACAATTGCCTGGGCGATTGAGTTGGGGCGCGAGCCAAGTCTTCGGACGGTCAGCGAGACCGTGCCTGGCACCTCTGGTCTTCCATGCTAACCAGCGGTTGCATATAGTACCTGGGCGCCTGCGCCGATCGTTGGCCTGGTGGCTGCGCTTCTTGGAGGCCATGCTCTCGCGCGCGTGCCCGTGCGCGTGGCGCGACCGCCCGCGGGTCCTGCTGTGCGCGGATGCGACGGGCCAGGGGGGCCTTGCGTGGGCGACGGTGTCCCTGGCCGGGAAGGAGTTTGCCTCCGCCGCGGCTCCGAGCGGGGCCAAGCGATGGTTGAACTCTCGGAAGACGCAGGTGGCAGCGTTCGAGCTAATTGCGGCACTCGCGTGGCTGTGCCGCGTTTTCCGTTCCTGCCCGGGCGCGGAGGTTGTCGTTTTCGTTGACGGCGCTGCCGCGCTTGAAATCCCGCCCTGGGGCTCGTCGCGCGAAAATGATTACGGCGAGCTGGCGCGCCGTCCACTCGCGGCGCGCGCGCGGCCGCGCAGCGCCGCGTCGTGCGATCAGGATGCAGGTGCATGGCTGGCAGCAGCCGCTCGCGATTGCGCGGCCAGCTTCTGGCGCGTTCCGTCAAAACATACGTGGCCGACGCGCCAGCGCGGCCATTGGAGGCCCGCGAGAGGCTGCGGGCGATGGCGACCTACGGTCTTGCAACGGCGGCATGGACATGGAAGTGGTCGCTTCCGAGGCCACCTCTCGGAGACCGTGACCTCTGGCTGCCCTTGCATGTGCTCTTCTTGCTCGCGCGCGCCGCCCCCGTCGGGCGCGCCTTCTTCGCTGCGCGGCGCCGGGGTAGCGGAGTGCGGCGCAGGCCTCTCCGCCGCGCGCGGGGTCCGCGAAGGTTTGTCCGCGCGCGCGCCGCTCGCGTTTCCCGTGGCATTCTTTCGCTCGTCGTCGTTAACGGCGATGCAGGGCCGCGCCCCCGTGGCGGTCCGACCGCGCGTCCTAGGCACGGAGGAGGGCGCGCGCGGCCGCGCCTCTGCGCGTTCGCCAGGAAGCGGGCCTGTCCGGCCTGCTATCGCGGGCCAGGGCGGCGTGCCCCGATTATCCGCCGCGCAAGCTGTTCAGGTCGTTGGGAGGTCTGCGACGCAATGGCCTTGACTCGGTCCGCGAGATGGACGCGCTCCAACAACGCTCGTTCCTGGTCGACCTTGAGTTTCAAGACCCACTCGAAGAGGGCGAGCGCGGGGCGCTGCTGGCTATTGTCGATGGGGCACCATCAGGGCGCGCGACTCACCTTCCCCCTCTTGGCCCCGGCTCCAACGCCAGCGGTTCGCTCGTAGGCAGCGCGGTGACGAGCGACAAGCGGCGCCCGGCGGGCGCTGGCGCGTCGGGTAGCAAGGTTCCGCGTGCGCGCGGGGGGCAGGGCGCGCCGCTCTCGCGCCCGCTTGGGCTCAGGCCTCGGGCAGTTCGTCGTCCTCGTTCTCGTCCGACGGGGCGCGCCCCGCGGCCCGCGACGGGAGGGTCGGGCGCGGCGTCCCGTCCGACAAGGTGCCTGCCTGCGTCTACGCAGCTCGCCGGTTTTTTTCAGGCAGGCCGGAGTAAAGGCTCGCGAACAGAACCGCCTACTCTCCCGCCCACGTGCGGCCGAGGACGAGGCGGTCGCCGCGCGCGAGGTTCCCTGCGATCGGTCGGTCTCCAGGGGGCGGCTTCGTCGACGAATCGGTAATGTTGGCTGTGTGCGGGAGCGCTCCTCGATCGCTGAACGCATGGCGTTCGGGGGTCCGTCGGTGGTGGAAGTTTTCGCAGAAGTCGCTGGGTCGGCGGGGAGACGAGTTCCCGCCGACTGCGAAGTCACCTTGCGCTTATGCTCGGACCTTCCACAGCCGGCGCGTGTTCATTACTTGCGTCGGGTTCCTTAAGAAGTCCTGCGTCGTGCTGGACCTGAACACGTCTGCGTTCGATCCTCCCCTTCTGGCCATGGCAAAGGTCGCAGTGTCTAAGCGTTGCCCAGGTATCTACAGACCGCGCCCGCGCGCATCCCTGGAGGCGATGCACGCCGTGCTGGACAGGGGGCAAGCCCCGGTGGACTTGTTGAGACTCTGGACCGTCTGCTTCGCTTTCGGACTGCGGCTCCCGTCCGAGGGGCTGAGCTTAGACCGGGGCCCTGCGCGGGAACTGACCAGGATCGCGTTGCGCAAAGACGGTGACTCTTTTGCGTTGTTCTTCCCTCGGCGCAAGAACAAGGAGTGCGCCTCGATATCCGAGCGGAGATGCTGGTGTGACAGGTCTCCTCGGACGTGCGCGCTCCGCGCGATATGGCCCATGTTCGAAGCCGCCGAGATTGGGGCAGGCCCATTCGCGGGCATTGGGCCAGACGTGAGCACGCGCGCGCTGCGCCGCGAACTGCCGGCAATGGGCGCTCGCGACCATTGCTCCCATGACAGCCGGTCTTTCCGCCGGGGTTCCGCTTAGCTGGTCAGGCTGTGCGGGGGCGCCGCCGGCCAGATTTTCCGGTCGGGCGGTTGGTCGAGCAAGGCTTTCCACGCTTGCCTCGGCCAACAAACGCCGCGAGCGCGACGCCGCCCACGAAGCGGTCGGGTCTGCCCCGGGTGGCAGCGGACAAGGTGATGCCGCCCAGGTGCGGCGAGGGGCGCGCGCGCCGTGCCCGCGCAAGCGCCGCGCTTGTCGCAGAGCGTTGGGTGGCACGATCGGGGCCGCGGGATGCGCCCGCCGTCGCGCGGGCCCGCGGGTCGCGCGAGCATTGGGGCCGGGCGCGGTCGAACGCGCGACCCGCTGGCGCACGCGCGCTTGGCGGCGGCGGCGTTGGCGGCGCCGTCGTTTTTCGCCCAAAGTTTGGCGCGTGCGTGACCCTCGGGGGGAGCGAGCTGGTTTGCGTCGACAAGACAACGCTGCGCTTGCGTTGTTGCGGGACACAAGCGGGGAGCGACGTTGTTGCGCGGACACCTGCCCGGCACAGCGCGGCGCCGCGCGTCGTGGCTGCGCTGCGGGAAAGCGGCTCATGCCCCCCCGCCAAGGGGCTTCGCGCGCGGGAGGGGTTCTCAGCGGCCGCCGCCGCCCAGGGGATGGACCCTGGCGGTGGGCGGCGTCGTTGTTTCTCCCACCCTGCCCGCCATGGGTCTTGCTTGCCCATCGCCGCCGCACGGGGCGCAGTGCGTGGGGCCGAGCGCGGTCGAACGCGCGACCCGCTGGCCCCCGCGCGCCTGGCGGCGGCGGCGTTGGCGGCGCCGTCGTGTTTCGCCCAAAATTTGGCGCGTGCATGACCCTTGGGGGCGAGTGAGCTGGTTTGTGTTGGAGCATTTCTGTTTTTCTGTTTATAAAAATGTTTCGTCCGAAATCAGCCTGCAGGAGGACATGCCCGACCTGATATGTAGAGCCCCGCAGCGAGGCGCTGCTGGGGCGCCGACCTCGGGGGCAGCGAGGGCGGAGGTGAGCTGACGTGCCGCGCTGTCCCTCGCGTTTCCCGGCGACCCCAGGAGCGAGCAGCGGCAGGATTGGGTCGAAGGAGGCTGGCCGTACGCGCGAGGGGCCCTTCGTCAGAATGACCTTTGGTGCTCGGCTTTCGGGGGGCGCTGGGCGTTTGGGACCGGTGAAACACGGGAAGTTGGCTTTTAGGGTGCCCCCTCGTCGCTACGGTAGGGCGCAGCTCGGGAAGCCGGTGCGTTTGGACCCCGGGAGAGGTCCAGGGACCGATTCTGAGCTGCCGTTGTCTCAATTTGCGTGGCTCTGACATGCCGCCACTGTCGCATCGCATGCAGCGAGTGGCGAGTCGCGCACCACATGTGGCTCTTGCCCAGGGTCACTGTTGCCGTGTAGGATAGAAGGGAAGTGAGAGAGACGGGGGAGGATTATCTAATAACATCACTGGACATGCGTAGGTTTCCGAAGGGCACCGCGGATTTCTCTTGTGCCGTCACATGTCGGTACTTGACGCCCTTTGTCGGCGCCTCTGTCGCAGTCTTTGGCTCGTTTTGTTTGTTTGCTTGCTTGTTTGCTTGCTTATGCGTTTATCCGTTTGTGTATTCGTTTGTCTGCTTGTGTGTATGTGTGATTTATGGTCACACCACTTGTTGTCGTTTGTTGCTGTTTGTTGCTCCTTCTAGAGGAGGGATGCGGGGTAAGGAGAGGAAATTCGCATCAGAAAGACACGCGCCGGTGGCCCGTCTTGCCTCCGCGACGCAGTGGCGATGGGGGTCGGCCCCCGCCCAGGCTGCCGTCCATCCTCTTCCTGTCCGCCTTCTCGGTGGTCGTGCTCTTCTTCGTGCAGCTGCACTGGACCTCCAACATCGTCCCGCTGGGGTTGCTGGATTGCCTCGTCGTCTGCGCCAACGCGGCCTGCTATCTGCTCGTGGCGACCGTTGCGCTCTGCACGTTCTTCCTGCGGCTGTACGGCCGGCTGGGGCCCTACCTGACATCGCTCATAGGCTCGACGACCGGCACGGGAGAACCATCCCCACCCCCCATACGCGGCGTTTCCCAAACAGTCTTGGGCGTTAACGAAGGAGGACCCTGCCCTGTTCGATTCCTTCGGGTGCGTTTGCCAGAGGGCCTCGCTTGTCGGGGTGCTGATTGCCCAGAGATCTGGTCCAACATCTTTTTTGCGTACGGGGCCCGTGGAAATCATGACCCTTTCCTCTAGGCCTCCTAGATGGGGTCCGAGTAGATGGGGTCGGAGGATCGCGCTGTATCGCCGATGCATCGGCGATGCTGACCGATGTTGAGCCCGATTTTATCCACGCCGATGGCGCCGATGCCTCGCCGACGTCGCCGATGCAGCGCCGATGCGTCGGCGATGTATCGCCGATGCATCGCCGATGCGGCGCGATCCTCCGACCCAGGGCTGGACCTAAACGCTGTTTTGCTGGACTTTGGGTGTGCTTTGTTTCTCGTTTTGTGAGGGAGGTGCAGGAAGACAGGTCGAGCAAAACGAACAATAGAACGACAACACAACGGAACACAACGCTTAGGTCCAGCCCTGCTCCGATCCCATCGACTCCGACCCCATCTTGGAGGCCTCTGTTTCCCCAGGGCCAGTTTTGCACCCCGAGCCTCGTGGACTGACGGCCTTGTCGGCGGCCACCCGCCAAAGAGAGGCCGGCAGCGGCGCGAAGTCTCCCTCCGCGCCGCGTCGTTTTGCCCCTGGCTGGAGGCCTGGGTGTGCTGGTGGCTCCGCGGCCCTCGATCGGCGGCGAAGAGGAGGAGGAGGAGGAGGAGGAGGAGGAGGAGGAGGAGGAGGAGGAGGAGGAGGAGGCGGAGGAGGAGGAGGAGGAGGAGGAGGAGGAGGAGGAGGAGGAGGAGGAGGAGGGCCTTCCTCGGAAGTCCCCCGGCCTTCGATCGGAAACTGGAGCATACACATTACCAGTTGCGGGCTGTTTTTCAGTCCCAAGACTGTCTTGAGGTTCGGGGAAGACGTCGCGGTGGTGTGGTGTGTATTTTTCAGCTTCCCTGGGGAACAACTGACAAATGTACACACCAGGATCCCGTACACACCAAGATCCGTTTTTTGTGCAAATTTCCGTGCATGGTTGGAAAAAGCGTCGGTGTTTAGAATTCGGCTCCCTATCTGAGAAGTTTTCTTTGCCTTCTCTCCGAAGACAAAAAACAACAACTTCTCGGGAGGCGCGAGGGCTTCTGAGAAGTCCAGCCGTCTTCTGAGAAGGCCTTCTCCTTTTCCATTGCTAGGAGGCCACATGCGAAGCCTACCCCACCGCCCCACGATCGTTGAGTCGGGCATGGCCTTCTACAGGAGGAGTATTTACATCATTTGAATAGTGGTTTAGAAACAGCCAGGGGACGATTCGTCGACCTTTTTTTGACTATTATTGATCATCTTTTGACTATTATCTAACTCTTCCTCCAAAATCAACCTACCTGTAGGAGGACACGCCGACCTACGCCTATCCACCAACAACAAAAACGACACCAGCCCATCCCCGGCCCCTTGGCATCGCACGGACGCGTGCCTTTTCCCCCGGCGAGGAGCCTCGAAGAGCCTCCTTCGGGCGATCGCAGACGTAGATCAAAGGGGGGCGTGGATCAGCGACGGGTCCCGTTTCCGTGGGAAGTCGCGGCTCTCCGCCGCCGAACGAGGCGGCACGGGCCGCTTTTTTGGGGAGGGCACCTCCCCCGATCCATGGATTGGCGACCGCGCGCCAGATCCATGGATCGCTAATCCATATATGCTCGTTTTGAGGACCTTCCTCGGGCCCACCCAACGGATCTGCTCGACCCTGGTTCGACTCAAGTTCGCCTCAAGTTCGACTCAGGTTCGGCTCAGGTTCGACTCAAGGTCGACTCGAATCGACGGGCGTTCGAAGCAGCCTCGACGCACGAGTTGAGCGAGTGGCTCCAGAAAGATCCCCGGAGTGAGCAGCGCGCGCCCCCGGACCCTGGACCCTCTGGCAAGAAGCGAGCAGGCACGGCACGGACCAAGAGTGCTCGGGGCATGGGCGCCCGAGCGACGACACGGGAACGACACCACCCCACGCCTGCGTCTCCCTCCAGGTTGCGTTGAGTCGGGCCTGTCCCCCCTACAGGACGAATATTCAAACATATGAAGAACATAGTTTGGGGACGATTTTACTTGTGATATCTTTATACATATATATATATGATTGGATTATATTTTAGATATTTTTATTTTTCGCCCAAAATTCCCCCGTAGGAGGACCGACCTAAAGGTTGCGCTGCGGCCCATCGCGGGGGGCCGCGGAGCGCACACCACGCAGAAGCCCACGCGCCGAACTTTTCTGGTATGCGCCGAGCACCCCCCTGGGGCCTTAGGTGGGGTGGTGTCGTGTGTGCTCCATTGAAGAAGGATCAGCGCCATAAACATAAACTTTTGGCGCTCCGCGCGGATTTCTTGGATCCGCGCTGGGGCCCCCCCCCGGGCGGCGCCTCTGGCGCCGCTCTTGGCGCGTTCCGCGCGCGCAGATCCAAGAAATCCGCGCGGAGCGCCGAAAGTTTATGTTCATGCCGTTTTTTGAAGGATTCAGAGGAGCAAGTGATACCGATGCTGCTGCCTCTGCCTCATTTTCGCCTTGTTGGGCCTCCCGGGAGGCCCTCGTGGCCACCGCCGGATTCGCTTCGATATTCTGCTCAGAACGCACCTGGGAGAGGTCCAGGGAGTAGCAGTATCGGTGCCTCTTAATTTCCCCAGGGATGGCTCATCGGTGGTTCAAAGATGGGTCCTGAGTGATGGGGTCCCAAGGATAGGGATGGATGCAAGGCCGGATTTACATGGTTTGAGGCACCTCTTCTTTAGGGCTTCATCTTTGGACCACCGAGCTCGAGGGCAACGCTAGGGGAGGGGGGATAGGCTCAGGGGAGAGTGCCTTGGCATCCAGACGCCCATGGATCGCCGATGGGGGGCCTGACAGCCCACCTCGCCCGGGAGAGCGTGCGGACTTGCCGTCGAGGGCCCATCGCCGATCCATCGGCGATGTCTCGCCGACTCTTGTCGACGTTTGCCTCCTGGAGCTGGTCCACCATGCCCCGGTGGCGGGGAAGGGGGTCGGGGCTGGACAGAACCCGCAACAGTGACACGTCGATTAGTGAATTGTCCGTTTTCGGTTTTCGAGAGGGCGCCGTGGCCGTTATTTTCCAGGCTTGCGACCGCCAAGTTTGGGCCTCAGATCGTTTTCACTAAACCACCTTTTACTAAAGGGGGGTCTGTCCATCCCCGACGGGGGGGGGGTCCGGCGCCGACCCAGAAGATCCGTCTGGATCTCGGAGGGGATCCATTCTCGGCGGGTCCGCGCCGCGTCGACGCAGCGGCGGCCCCCGCGCGTCTGGTCAGGAGCGCCGCCAGAGTGGCCGGGGATCGGTCGACATCGGACGACGTGCGCCATCGAAGCGCCGCGATGGTTCAGGGTGGATCGATCCACGCTGTGTCACAGACTATCATGCAGGTCGCCACGGCTTGAGTCGGCGGCCACATGCCCACCCTGCCCCAGCACCCCGTGATTTCTAAAGGGGGGTGGCGGGGTAGGGTTCGCATGTGGCCTCCTATCGAGTCTGCCGCACCTGTGCGGTTGCTCGATGTCCTAAGTGTAGGATGCCGGCCGGGGGGGCCCGTCGGGCAGCAGCGCCATGGGCGACGATCAATACATTGGCTTCTAGCCCCGCTCGTGGTCGTCGTCGCCGCCATCGAGACTGATTTATGGTCCCCTCCAAAAACTTCCCCAGCGGTAGGGGACCATTACTCAGCTCTATGGCGTTGATCGGACAAGAAAAAACGCGCGCCCCAGCCCCCCTGGCGGCGCCTCCGGCGCCGCCCCTGGCGCGCGGAGCGCGCCAGGGAGGAGAGCCCAGCGCGGATCCAAGAAATCCGCGCGGATCTCCAACTGTTTGTGTTATTGTTTTTTCTTCCCCCAGTTGAGTTGGTTCCTCGCTTTTGAGTCAGCAGTGCGCGCGTCTTTCCTCCTCCTGCACTTCCTCCTCCCTGTGCTCTCCGCCCATCCATGTCGGCACAGCCCTCTCTCTCACACACACACCTCGTGGCCCCACCTGCAGCGCCACCTGCTGTCTCAGGGGGCGCGATCGCATAGCGTACCAGCCCCCTCCTTCTCTTCCTCCTCCTCCTCCTCCTCCTCCTCCTTCTCCTCCTCCTCCCCCCTCCTCCTCCTTCTCCTCCTCCTCCTCCTCCTCCTCCTCCTCCTCCTCCTCCTCCTCCTCCTCCTCCTCCTCCTCCCCCTCGTCCTCCTCCTCCTCCTCCTCCTCCTCCTCCTCCTCCTCTTCCTCCCTTCCACTGGGTGGTGGCAGACCCCTCGCGCGCTTCGTGGCCCTCCACTGGGGAGCTCCGCCTGCGGCCTCGGCGGGCGCCGACGTGCGGCGGCACTGCCCCCTCGACTCGCGACGCCCCATCGCGCGTCTCGCGGCCCCTACGGTAGGCCAGGCGATCGCAACGCATGGATCAAGGGCCTCCCTCCTCTCGTCGGCCACGCGCAGAGGGGGGTAGGGAGAGGGGGGGAGGCTTCTTAGAGCCGCTTGTCAGGAGGCGCGGGCCCTGTCTGTAGATGTGAGGCCCGCGCCTTCCAAGAAGCAGCCTCCTTGTATCAGGCGATCGCAAACATGGATCAAGGGGGCGTGTATTTGTGACGGGTCCCGTTTCCTTGGGACATCGCGGACTTCCGCCGCCGAGCGAGGCGACGCTGGCCGCCTTTTTTGGGGAGTGTGCCTCCCCCGATCCACGGATTTGGCGACCGCGCGCCAAGTCCGTGGATCGCCAATCCACGTCTTCGCGCCCCCGAAGGGTGGGCGCTCCATCTGCTGTCTCAGTGGACGCG